AACTCAGTCACTGAAACCTTGAGTTCACCTGATAGTCTAGGAAGTAGAAAAGAAAGAGGAAGAAAACATTTTCAGGATGCATGATCTGCCCCTATTTGATCTCTGTGAATCTTAGCAACATCTTAATAATGCCAACCAGCATCCCCCGGAGTCCTTGATCTCTCTGAGCCTCATCCACAGACTCCCGAGGCCTCTTCCTTGCCCATTGGAAATGTGGCGTTATGGTTTCTACATGGGCTAGAAAGGTAGTAAATGGCACGTAGGCTACTCACGTGACTCTTAACAGTTTATAAAGTTTCTCTTTCACATGCTTTATCCATCCCTACAATTACCTTGTGAAACATTATTATGCTAGTTTATAGAAATGGAAGTTCAGAAATATGTGCTTTCCCCAATATAAAGCAATTAATAAACTTGTGCTTGAAGTCAAGCTTTCTGAAATGCAATGATATGTGTACCACACCAGTGTTTCTTAGACCTGAGCAATGTATGTACTTGTAAAGACAAAAAAAGACTTCTCACAGACCCCTCCCCCTGGGAAAAGCCTGCAACTCTTTTTACTATAATGTTTAGTAATACATTAATCAAGACTTAACAGAACATTTATTTCCATTAAACTCTTTCTTAAATATGCTCCAACATAAAACCAGGTAAACCTGTTATGCTTATGCCTCTTACAGAATTATAAAACTAAACTAAAAATAAACACAAGTAAAATGACATGAATTTAATGTACTGGATGAGGCCTTTTTATCACCCAAAGTCCATAGTTTACTTTAGGGGTCACTGTTGGGGTTGTATAGTCTATGATTTTGGACAAGTTTATAATGACATGTGCCCCCCATTATAGCATCATACAGAGTAGTTTCACTGCCCTAAAGCCCCTCTGTTCGCCTCCCCACAGCCCCTGACAACCAGTGACACCTCCCCTGTCTCCATAGTTTTGCCTTTTCCGGAATGTCATATACATGGACTCATACAGCATGTAGCCTGCTCCTCAAAGTCACTGTCTGCAAAGGGAGGTTCACTGCCCTCTCCGGCCCAGGTCCCACGAGCAGCAGCCCTACACGGCCATGTGGCCAAGTGCAGACAACTCTCCCATCGCTTTCCCAGAACTTCAACCGCTGCAAAATCTCCCACTGCTCCACCTTCCTTGAGCAAATTAATCTTTTACGAATTAAGCTTCCACATCTTGAAATCAACTTAATTACAAACACGAGTATGAGACTACAGACAGTGGCGGTGCCCTACTGTCCAAGACATGTTTGACTTTTCTAAAGACTATCATCTCACTTAACACAAAAAAATTTTCAAGACTTACAGAGGCTTGCAGACCTCAAGGATGTATCTGGAACCTCTCAGTGTTCTTTAAATCCCAACAACGTTTGTTGCCCCCCGGGGACCTCTGTGGCATCATAAGCAGTGCCAGGCGCAATAATAACGTTAATTCATCATTTACAGCTTACAAAGACTCAGCGCATTATCTTCCTTCATCTCCCAAGAACCATATAAAGCAGATATTATTATTACCACATTACAGGTCAGGAAACATTTGTAATGAGGATCAAGAGGTTAAGTGGCTTATCCAATGTCATGAAGCTAAGCAGCAGCGTTCAGCACTTGGGCAAGTATCCCGACTCCCAATCCTCAGCGCACCGCAGCTCTTGCTCTTTTGATCTCTGTAAAATCGGCTAGACTTTCAGCATCAGAAGCAGACTTCTTCACGACAGTCTGACAGGAAGTCAGAATGACTCCAGTCCAGGGTAAGGCCTGTGAAACAAGCCTGTTCCTGCAGTAACACCTGCGAGTTGCAAATTTCTTACCAGTTCTGGCCCTGTTTACGTGAACCATTTAGCTGCCTCAGCCACCTTTGGGGAGGAGTCTGAGTAAATAAATGCACAGCCTGCTTTTAGCATCATGTTTTGTCTTGCTCAAAGGAAGGACACAGGAGAATGGAAGAAGATCTCATGTTTCTTCCTGGTGGTAGCCATCTCAAATGCATAACATCTGTAGATCCATCCAGTGGCTTGTAGACACACCTCTCTGTGTTGTCTCCA